TGTCATGCACGCGTGAAAAGTATGTGCAAATACTATGTGATAATGTGCAAATACTATGTGATAAACAACCAAGGTAAAAGAGAAGGAAGGAGAGGCGGGTCCACTAAAAAACATATAAAAGAGAGCATGAAAACTACTGTAGCATGAATAGTTTTACTACCCTATGAACAATGCTTAAATTTATTTTGAATTAAAATTTTCAAAATACCATTGCAGCTAAATTGACCCGCCTAATGTCGCGACATTTGTTTGAAAAAGTCGAACAATAATATTTTTAAGCATTTGCGATACAAATAAGTTATACACCTAACCATAGAACAAATATATAACAAATTATAGCAAAAGGTGTCAACTTACATTGTATATCTAAGTTGTGCGGGTATGAGTACATGTGCAAGTACGAGTACAACTACAAGATACAACTACGAGATACAACAAACTTGTAAAAAGGTGTACAAGTATGAGTAGGAATACGAGATATGACAAACTTGTAAAAATGTAAGATACAGGGCATGGCTCAAATGCATGAGCTGTAACCATAGTTGCAAGGTAGATAAGTAAACAACAATTTGAAATTGTAGTTCTTAAGGTTGAAATGAATTTGACCACTATCCAATAAGTTTCAAAAATAAATGTGAAGTGTAGAATATATATCCAAGAAGCGTATGTTGAGTGTTTTAAATTAAAAAATATATTATGTAATTGAGTATACATCTAGATAGATTAAGGAAAAAATATTTCAAGGACCCCCAAAAAAATAGAGGATGTGGCCACCCTAATACAACATCCACTTGTGTTTCAGCCCCTATTTAGGTTTCCAACACAACACAGTGACAAACATTTGTTCAAAACTCAAAAGTGCCCTTAACCCATTTCGTTTCTTCTTCTTCTTCTTTCTTCTTCTTCTTCTTCTTCACTTCTTTAGCCTCTTAGTTTTTGGGCTTTTCCTTTGTTTCTTTCTTTCTTCTTCTTCACTTCTTTAGCTAGCCTCTTAGTTTTTGGGCTTTTCCTTTGTTTCTTTCTTTCTTCTTCTTCACTTCTTTAGCCTCTTAGTTTTCTGAAGTACTCTGTTCATCTTACTTCTTCTGAGACCCATTTCACTTCTTCTTCCTCTTCTCTGTTGAAGGTAGGAGTAAACAAGAGGATCTCAATTTCCTCAAGATATAGGCACTTTTATCCCTCTGTCCCTATGTTTTCCTCTTCCTTCTATTTTTTTTCTTTTTTGTATGACGCCAAATTTTCTCTTTCATTCTATCACATTTTGCTTTTGGCCATGTTTTTTGTTCTACAGGTAACATTTACATATTTATTATGTCGTTCCCCACAAAAAAGATGCATTTTTTCCTTCTTTTTTTCTTCTTTGTTGTAAATTTCTTCTGTTCGACGCTGCCGCCGCCAGTGAGAAACCCAATAGCGTCATTTCAACAATCCCCGTCGAAGACGAAGAGATCATCGAATCCGTGATCATGGGTACAACACCATCTTATTCATTGGAGTCCAAATTAGGAGACTGCAAACGCACTGTAGGTGTTCGACACGAGGCCTTAAGGAGAATCACCGGCAGAAATCTCAACGACCTACCTTTTGATGGGTTCGATTATGCCGCTCCATCCTCAGCTAGTACTGCGAGATGTCGATTAGGTTCGTCGCATTGCCCGTTGGCATCGTGGACCCACTGGTTTTGGATGAGAGGACTTACTACATGCCGATGGCCACGATCGAAGGGTGTTTGGTTGCGAGCACGAACAGAGGGTGTAAGGCCATCAGGGAGTCAGGTGGGGCCTAGAGTACGTGTTGTGCTTAGGGATGGGATGACGAGGGCCCCGACGGTGAGGTTTATACTTAGGGTGCAAGGCCATTGGGGAGTCACATGTCATGTTTCATTGTTTAGTTGATTATACTATGTGTTATTATTGTTTAGTTGTACTTAAATCAAAATTTAATAAAATATATTGTGTCTATTTAGTGATTAATTTTAGTGTAATTTATTGCAATTGTACATAAAACGTATTGTGGTTGTCATGTGAATATGTACAAGTTACGATAATATGCACATAATCTTGAACATGTTAACTCTCATCTATAAATGTTAACTTTCAGGTATATATGTTAACGTTCAGGTTTATATGCTAACGTTCACGTGAACATGTTAACTATCAGTTATATATGTTAACTTTCATCTGTATATGTTAACTTTCTTACGAACATGTTATATTTCATCTCTGCATGCTAACTATCAGCTGAATATGTTAATTTTTAGCATAATATGATGAACGTTAACATGTTCAGTTGAAAGTTAACATGTTTTGAAGAAAATTAACGTATTATGGTGAAAGTTAACATGTGATAGTGAAGGTTAATATATTATGATGAAAGTCCTCATGTATGTGTGCGTATTACACTTTTATGACTAATGAAAATCCTCATGTAAGTAATCTTGAATTTATTATTAATTTTTTGCTCAAGTGGCTGTGATTTATGATTCATGATTTAACTTGATTTTGATTTTGTTTTTGTACATAATTTCAGAATGATGGTTGTAGATTTCAGGAGTGGTTTGACAACCTTGTGTATAGTGTGGGAACTCAATTATTTCCACTTATGAGAGAAGAACTCACTGATTTGAGGAGAAACTTGAATTTGAAGGATAAATTGATTGAAAAGTATTATGAGACTGAGAAGTCATGAGGTAATTTCCAAACTCAAACAGAGTTAAAGTTGAATAAACAAGAACATGAAGCTTGTTATTGCTTGGATGAGGTTATGAAAATGAGGAGAAGAAATGAATTTGATGGGTGAGCTTGCAGAAGAAAATATGAAGAAGATGTATGTGTCATGAATTGCTTGTAATTCACCTTGCAATTCACGTTACAAACTTATAACGTGTCATGTTTCATTGTTCAGTTGATTATACTATATGTTCTTGTGGTTTGGTTGTACTTAGATTAAAAATTAATAAAATATATTTTGTCTATTTAGTGATCAATTTTGGTTATTGTAATTGTATGTGAAGTGTATTTTGGCTGTCATGTAAATATGTGCAAGTTCATTCAAATAGAACTTAATGTGCACAATAAACTGAATATGTTAAGATTGTATACAAATTATGTGTATCAAAACATAAATATTATAGTACATAATATGTACATAATCTTGAGGTTATTGTGTACATAATATATACAGATTGTGTACATAATCTTCAAGTTACGATACACTATTAAATCCTATAACATGTTAACTCTCATCATAACATGTTAACTTTTCAGCTGAACATGTTAACGTTCATCATAACATGTTAACTTTCATTGTTACATGTTAATTTTCATAATAATATGTTAACCTTTGTCATAACATGTTAACTGTCAGGTGAACATGAGAACTTCCATCATAATATGTTAACCTTCACTATTACATGTTAACTTTCACCATAATATGTTAACTTTCTTTAAAACATGATAACTTTCAACTGAACATGTTAACATTCATCATATTATGCTGAAAATTAACATATTCAGCTGATAGTTAGCGTGCAGAGATGAAATATAACATGTTCGTAAGAAAGTTAACATATGCAGATGAAAGTTAACATATACAACTGATAGTTAACATGTTCACGCGAACGTTAGCATATAAACCTGAACGTTAACATATACACCTGAAAGTTAACATATACAGATGAGAGTTAACATGTTCAAGATTATGTACATATTATCGTAACTTGTACATATTGTTTGTGGAAAATTTGTAGTAAAAAAAATAAAGGAAAATTGATTTGTATTCCTTTAATCTCAATTACAGTTGGATTCCGATTATAAAAGAGAAGATAATGATCTGGATTCTCCTCTTTGTTTAAAACTGGGTTCTTCACGGTGGCGATGAAGTGCCTCCCTCGAATGCTCGCGTCGAGTTTGCTCTCCGTTGACGATCCGACGTTTTGATTCACTAGAACGATGTCTTCTCCTCACGATTTGACATTGTGGAGAACTTGCGTGGCAAGTTTTAGAACTCTGAACGAGTTTATAAGAACTCTATAAAGAGTTGATTTGAACCGGAAATCGGTTAATAAGCCAAGGCCAGAAGGAAGCTCCGGTGGTCGATCTCCAGATCCGAGAATGCTCCAAAGATCCTCTCTTTGCTGCCAAGCTCCAGCGTCAATCCGAGCCAAGAAGTTTCAACCCTTAACTCAGTTGAGTTTACTTGTTTTTATAGGGGATTAAGGGGGTGTAACCGCCCCTTAAATCACTCCTAAGTGGGGTGTAACCGCCCCCAAATCGTGGAAAATAGTTTTAGAACCGTTCAGCTCATGTTGAATGAGTCAAACAACGCCCAAGTTGGCGTTCAGGACCCTAACTTCACGTTTTAGACTGGAGACGCGGAGTTGGGAACCCGCTGGATGTTGAAAAACACGAGGGCCGCCCGCGTTTGGTTTGCTGAGGATTGGAAACGCGGGGGTCGCCTGTGTTTCGAGAATTGAAACGCGGGGGTCGCCTGCGTTTCACGAATTGAAACGTGGGGGTAGCCTGCGTTTCAAGAATTGGAACGCGGAGATGACTTCCGCGTTTAGAAGGGGCTAGTTGACTTATAGCCTCTTCTGTAGAGCGTTGTAAAGACCATTGTTGAATGATCTTCGCCTTGGCTGCTCGAAAATACGAGAGTTGTCAGATTGTAACTCCCGATGTTGATTGTGAAGACTGTTAAACTAGAGCTTTCATCGGTTGTTGTGAAGGTCGTCAGATTGTAACCTTCATTAATCTACGTGAAAGTCTTCAAATTACAGCCTTCTGGAAGTCGTCAGATTGTAACTTCCATCATCGGTGTTTGATGGGGATCAACTATCTATTTTGATTTTTTAGACAGCCTACACATATTTACATGATAACCATAATACATTTTACATACAATTGTAATAAATTACACCAAAATTGATTACTAAATAGACACAATAAATTTCATTATATTTTGATCTAAGTACAACCAAACCACAAAAACACATAGTATAATCAACTGAACAATGAAACATGATACGTGACTCCCCAATGGGCTTGCACCCTAAGCATAAACCTCACCATCAGGGCCCTCATCATTCCGTCCCTAAGCACAACACTTTGGGCCCCACCTGACTCCCCGATAGCCTTACACCTTCTGTTCATGCTCGCAACCAAACACCCCTCGGCCATGGCCATCGGCACGTAGTAAGTCCTCCCATCTAAAAACAGCGGGTCCGCGATGCCAACGGGCAATGCGACAAACCCAACCGGCATCTCGCAACACTGGTTGAGGATGGAGGCGTAATCGAACCCATCAAGAGGTAGGTCGTTGAGATTTCTGCCGGTGATTCTCCTTAAGGTCTCGCGTCGAACATCTGCAATGCGTTTGCAGTCTCCCAATTTGGACTCTAATGAATAAGATGGGGTTGTACCCATGACCATGGATTCGATAATCCCTTCGTCTTCGACGAGGATTGTTGAAATGTTGTCGTTGGGTTTCTCACCGGTGGCGGTAGCGTCGAACAGGAGAAATTTACAACCAAGAAGAAAAAAAGAAGGAAATAATGCATCTTTTTTGTGGGGAACGACATAATAAATATGTAAACGTTACCTGTAGAACAAAAAACATGGCCAAAAGCAAAATGTGATAGAATGAAAGAGAAAATTTAACGTCATACAAAAAAGAAAAAAATTTAGAAGGAAGAGGAAAACATAGGGACAGAGGGATAAAAGTACCTGTATCTTGAGGAAATTGAAATCTTCTTGTTTACTCAAACCTTCAACTGAGAAGAGGAAGAAGAAGTGAAATGGGTCTCAGAAGAAGTAAGATGAACATAGTGTTTCAGAAGACTAAGAGGCTAAAGAAGTGAAGAAGAAGAAAGAAAGAAACAAAGGAAAAGCCCAAAAACTAAGAGGCTGGCTAAAGAAGTGAAGAAGAAGAAAGAAAGAAACAAAGGAAAAGCCCAAAAACTAAGAGGCTAAAGAAGTGAAGAAGAAGAAGAAGAAGAAAGAAGAAGCAGGAAAAGCCCAAAAACTAAGAGGCTAAAGAAGTGAAGAAGAAGAAGAAGAAGAAAGAAGAAGAAGAAACGAAATGGGTTAAGGGCAATTTTGGGTTTTGAACAAATGTTTGTCACTGTGCTGTGTTGGAAAGCTAAATAAGAGCTGAAATACAAGTGAGTGTTGTATTGGGGGCTTTGTCACCCAAAAAATAATACGGGGGGCTGGCCACATCATCTTTTTTTTTGGGCCTTGACACATTTCCCCCTAAATGTAAGCATATACAAGTGTTTTAAATTCAGTCAAAATGCTACAAAATTAGGATGGAAAAGCGAAAATAAATAATAGTTTAAGCATTTTATTTAAAAATACATTGTTACCTAACCAATTAGAATAAAAATATAACACATTAAAACAAAATACAGCAACCTAAACTGTATACTAAACTGAAATTACAAAGTTACTCCAAAAATAATTGTTCTAATATATTGAGTCTGAAGTAATTTTAGAAGTATGCGAGCTTAAAAATAGGTGGGTAAAACTTCAAGTTTATGTGAAAAAACTCTCTTTGTAAAATGGTGGATTTAAGAAATAAATAGGTGTAAGATACTTGGTTTATAGGTAGAAAAGTGCAAACTCTACTCAACTTTACAATATAGTATATAGAATATATAATGTAATTAAGCGATGGTCTTAAGGGTTATTTTGAAAGTGGTTGAATTTAAAAACAAATATGGGTAAAGCTTTGGGTTTATAGGTAAAAAATACTTTTGTTTAATTGTATTGGATTAAAAATGTTTCGACGGTAATCCAAAATAAAAAATTTTGAAAGTGGGTCTAGGACTAATTCAGTTAAAGTATTGCAGGTGCGAGACTTATTTTAGAAGCATGGACGGTGGACCGGTGGATTTAAAAAAAAGGAAAACTATATTAAGGTCCTAAAAGTAATATCTTCATATGTTACAACCCTTTATTTTTTTTCCTATATGGTTCAACCCCAAGAAGTGTGACATCTTGTGTGGCAGCCTCTTTTTGCAATTATTACCCTCCAACTCAACATAGAGAGGATAAAAGGTACAAAACCTCAAAATGTCCTTATCTCTTTCATGTTAGGTCTATTTAGAACTAACATGAACTCTTATTAGAACTAACATGAACTCCAATAAGAACTAACACGAACTTTTATTAGAACTAATTTAATTTCTTTTAAGTCTAATTTAAATCATGTTATGTCTAATTTAACTTATTTTAAGTCTAATTTAATTGGACTTAACATGAAATTAGACTTAAAAAAATAAATTAGACTTACCATGATTTAAATTAGACTTAAAAAGAATTTAACATGATTGAAATTAGACTTAAAATTTCGTGTTAGGTCTACTAAAAGTTCATGTTAAGTCTGATTTCATGTTAGGTCTAATATAAATTTGTGTTTAAGTCTAATTTCATGTTAGGTCTAATAAAAGTTCGTGTTAGTTCTAATAAAAAAAATTCGTGTTAAGTCTAATTTTATGTTAGGTCTAATAAAAATTCGTGTTAGGTCTAATTTTATGTTAGGTCTAATAAAAGTTCGTGTTAGGTCTAATAAAAGTCTGTGTTAGGTCTAATTGGAGTTCATGTTAGTTCTATTTCGTGTTCGTGTTAGTTCTAACTTATGTTAGTTCTAATTCATGTTAGTTCTATTTCGTGTTCGTGTTAGTTCTAATTCATGAATTAGAACTAACACGAACTGAGTTAGAATTAACACGAACTGAGTTAGAACTAACACGAACACGAAATAAAACTAACATGAACATCAATTAGACCTAACATGAGTTAGAACTAACACGAATACGAAATAGAACTAATATGAACTCCAATTAGACCTAACATAAACTTTTATTAGACCTAACACGAACTTTTATTAGACCTAATATGAAATCATGTTATGTCTAATTCAACTTGTTTTAAGTCTATTTTAATTGGACTTAACATGAAATTAGACTTAAAAAAAGTTGAATTAGACTTAACATGATTTAAATTAGACTTAAAAGAAATTTAACATAATTAAAATTAGACTTAAAATTTCGTGTTAGGTCTAATAAAAGTTCGTGCTAAGTCTAATTACATGTTAGGTCTAATAAAAATTCGTATTAAGTCTATTTTCATGTTAGGTCTAATAAAAGTTCGTGTTAGGTCTAATAAAAGTTCGTGTTAAGTCTAATTGGAGTTCATGTTAGTTCTATTTCGTGTTCGTGTTAGTTCTACCTCATGTTAGGTTTAATTGGTGTTCATGTTAGTTCTATTTCATGTTCATGTTAGTTTTAACTTAGTTCGTGGTAATTCTAATTCATGAATTAGAACTAACACAACCTGAGTTAGTTCTAACATGAATTAGAACTAACATGAGTTAGAACTAACACGAACACGAAGTAGACCTAACATAAACTCCAATTAGACATAACAGGAACTTTTATTAGAACTAACTTAATTCGTGTTAGTTCTAACTCAGTTCGTGTTAGTTCTAATTCATGAATTAAAACTAACACGAACTGAGTTAGAAGTAACACAAACGCGAAATAGAACTAACATGAGTTAGAGCTAACACGAACACGAAATAGAACTAACATGAACTCCAATTAGACCTAACACGAACTTTTATTAGACCTAACATGAAATTAGACCTAACACAAACTTTTATTAGATCTAACACGAACTTTTATTAGACCTAACATAAAATTAGACTTAACACGGACTTTTATTAGAACTAACACGAACTTTTATTAGACCTAACATGAAATTATACTTAACACGAATTTTTATTAGACCTAACATGAAATTAGACTTAACACGAATTTTTTTAGACCTAACACGAAATTTTAAGTCTAATTTTAATCATGTTAAATTTTGTTTAAGTCTAATTTAAATCATGTTAAGTCTAATTCAATCTTTAAGTCTAATTTTATATTAAGTCCAATTAAATTAGACTTAAAATAAGTTGAATTAGACATAACATGATTTAAATTAGACTTAAAAAGAATTAAATTAGTTCTAATAAAAGTTCACGTTAGTTCTAATTGGAGTTCATGTTAGTTCTAATAAGAGTTCATGTTAGTTCTAATTAGACCTAACATGAAAGAGATAATGGTATTTTGGGGTTTTGTACTTTTTATGCTCTCTCTATATTTAGTTGGTTGGTAATAATTGCTAAAAGAGGACTGTAGCACAAAATATCACACTTCTTGGGATTGAACTACGTGGGGGAAAAGTGAAGGGCCTGTAACACATTGAGATATTGTTTTTTGGGCGTTGATATAATTTTCCCAAAAAAAATGTAACTAAAACTTTCTTTAATTATAAAATTTTCACAAGCGTGAAGACCGATGCTCCCTCATTTTGCTCTTTATAGTCTCTTTTTAACCCAGTTTAAATCTTTCAATTTTTTTCTTGTCAATTGTCTTTGTTTGTTGACCTGAAATGGCTCGATCCTTCACCCTCAACACGGGTGCAGTTATTCCTTCGCTGGGTCTTGGCACGTGGAAGGCCGAGCCCGGAGTAGTTGGAGATGCCGTAATCGCTGCTGTCAAGGTCTTAATCCCATCTTTCCTCTTTGCTAATCAATTTCTTTAAAAAAATTATTTTTTGAATAAGGGGTTACTTTTTTTCAAGTTAATTCAAACTTCAACTTGGGTGGCTTACTTGATGTATGATCTTTTAGAAAACCCAATCTTCGAATTTCTCGTCAGCTTGCAATTTGCGTGAAGCTAGAGAAGAAAATGTAGGAAATAGTTAGAATATATGTTAATTACATCAGGAAGAAAATATCCCATTGAATAATTTATGGGTTTTCTTCAATCTTCTCCATGGCGTGTAGAAGAAGCTTATTGAAGCAAGTTAAAAATTTGGCAATTTTCTTTTTGTTTATCGTTGATCTTTAAGCTTGCTTGGGAGTTCTCACCAGTCAAAGAGTTGTTGGGGTGTTCAATTAAGAAAAGAGAAAGTTTAGCATCTATTCATTGTTGGGCTATTGAGGATTCTCTTTAGCATTTTGTAAGAGTTGGTGTTTTGCCTAAAATGATGATAATTGGAAAGTTAATATTTTACCAAAAATATGAAGATTAAAATTGAGAAGTAATTTGTTAAAAAAGTAAAAGAAAAATAAATTATTAAAATTTAAAACTTTAAAAAAAATAAATTTAAATTTTTTATCAATTTATTAAGGGGAAAACAAGTTGCATATGTAAAGGTACAAGCACATCCGTACAACTGCAACGGCAAGTTGTAAGACTTAAAAATTGAACCGAACATGCAACTAAAATTGTATGCATGAATAGTTGCAATAGTTCAGTTGCATGCAAGTGACACTCACATTGTAACTATAGTTGCAATCTACTAAACACTCCCTTAGAGGAGAGAAAAAAAAGGGGAGTGCTTTCGAGCCCTAATTAAGGTGGTAAAGAGTAAAATGTCCTGCAGTCCAGAAGTGAATTCTGAGGAAACTCTATGAAATAACCACTAATCTTAGTCTTATCGGGTTACATTATATATTGTTCATATTTTGAAGCTTTCATGAACATGTTTATCCTTTTGTGTAGTTAAAAAGTTCAACAGGATGTTTGAACCCACAAAAGACTTGTTGACTACATTTTCTCCTCTTTAAAATCGGCAATGTCTGGCGTTGTTGCAGGCTGGATATAGACACATTGATTGTGCTCCGGTATACATGAATGAGAAAGAGGTACACTTACTGAATCTTAGTTTTTTTATATTGTTAATTGAATAGTGAAACTCTAAATTAAGTGATTTTTTTTATATTATTAATTGGATGTTATAATACCTGTAAGCAGTTGGTTGACAATTTTCTTATGTCTGAATTAGTGTCTCTTGTGTACACTGTTGTACCTGAACAGTTAAACACTCGGTGACTTCACATATTAATAGGCGCTAAATGAACCATGAACTGTAGCTTGAGTAAATGCTTACTCGCTTAGGTGTCTATTGATGTTGGTCGTTGAATCCAACGTGTACTGTCATCTTGTGGAATTAATCTGCATATATTAAAAATTTTGAACCTTGTGGCCAGGCTGCTGCAAAGCTTTGAGTAATCTGGCTGCCTTGTGAATTTCTACAGGTATTTTTTATTGATAATTTGATAGAAATGCAATGCTGGATGTTGTATGTGCAGTATAATCCCAAACAACTTCACAATATGCCTGTGTAGCTATAATATTAGTATGTGCTAGAAAATGTTGATAAATGATAGGTATTTATTAAATAGCCGTGCTTGTTTGTATTTTATACTTTAATGGGTACGCTACATTATTCTTCACCTCTAAGAATTTTGGATGTCTTTTCTCACCAGGCCCTATGTTTTATATCATCTGGTCCAATCATTCATGATAGGCTTAATTGCACTTAAATACCCTATAGTTTTCCCTACTTTGCACTCAAATCATTCATGATCGGCTTAATTGCACTTGTTTTTTGCCGCACTTATATACCCTAAACTTTTTAAAATTTGCCCTTAAATACCCTCAATTATGCAAATGCGTGAATTTCCACCTGGAAATTCTCGTGAGAGACTCACATGCTAGTGTTGGAACTTTTTAACCCTTAATTTTTGTTAAAATTGTTGTTAAATCTATTATAGTTCTATTTTTCATCTGCCATATTTCTATTTTCAAATAGAATTTTGATAGTTTTAACAATAAATTTAACAAATATTAAGAGAAAATGTTTTAAAGATTTGAGGGTATATATGTGCAAAGTAGGGGGAACTATAGTGTATTTAAGTGAAATTAAGCCTTCATAATATTATTATAAGAACAAATTTTCACTGTAGACCCAAACGGAATTTTAATTATCAAAATCGACCGATTTTTTTTTAATTACCAAAATCGACCCGTTTTATGCCACGTAGGCTTAATCCAGTTTCCTAATTAGTCGGGGTTGCCAACCCCGACTGTTTAGGAGTTGTTAAACCCCGATTAGAAGCCTTAAAACCCGGTTTAACAACTCCTAAACAGTCGGGGTTGGCAACCCCGACTAATTAGGAAACTGGATTACGCCTACGTGGCATAAAACGGGTCGATTTTGGTAATTAAAAAAAAAATCGGTCGATTTTGATAATAAAAAATTGGTTTGGGTCTATAGTGAAAATTTGTTCATTATTATAATTTGGGCATCGATAAAAGGTGCCTATGGCAGTATATCATGATTTGAAACAGATAAAGGTATGATCTGCTCGCTGTTAATCAGTTGCGAGCAAATCCTCCAGAACATCAATCCTTTTTTGACTTGAAATTCGAAAACGCATCATATGTACTCTGTGTTAAGGATTAATATTTTAAATAATCAGTGTAATCATACTTTCTGTTAATTTCAGATCGGCGTGGCCTTGAAGAAGCTGTTTGATGAGGGAGTTGTGAAGCGTGAAGACGTTTTCATCACTTCAAAACTATGGCATGCTTTTCTATTTTCTACATGAGTGCAAATCGTTTTTCTTGAAGATTCTTTTACAAATGCAAAGGTGATTTTTGCAGGTCAGGTCACCATGCTCCTGAAGACGTGCCAGCTGCATTAAATTTAACTTTAAGCGACTTGCAGCTTGATTACGTGGATCTGTACCTTGTGAGTTTTAAACGCTTGGATGTGTTATTTTCATATTATAACATTTACACTTAATTTCCATCTCATGAGGCATTTCCCTTGTAAATTGTGGGTCATGAGCTTTTTATTCTCTGAATTATTACCATCGACCCTCCTTTATATTGCTTACTATGCTGCAAATTTCTTGAAGATCCACTCACCTTTCCGACTTAAGAAGGGATACGACACGAAACCTGAAAACTTCATCCAACCTGATGTACCTTCTACATGGAAAGCCTTGGAAAATTTATACGATTCAGGTAAAGCTCGTGCCATCGGCGTGAGCAACTTTTCTACCAAGAAATTGGAGGATTTGCTCGCTGTTGCACGGGTGACCCCTGCTGTTAACCAGGTGGAATGCCACCCTTGTTGGCAGCAGCAAAAGCTGAGAGCATTTTGTGAACTCAAGAGTGTTCATTTCTCTGTAAGTTGCCCATGATACAAGTTGTATTTTCTTCTTTCTTTTTTTTTCGATATTTCGCCAAATCTTCCATATTTTCAAATTAGTCCCCCTAGTTAACAGTTGCTTGAAATGGAGGAATTATTCAGTTATCTTTAATATTAATTTTGGGGTCCAAGACCAATTATATCCTCAAGCATTCAAACCCAAACTAAACCATAACTTAAAACCCAGTATTCTACATACCCAACCCCACGCCACCACGTTAAAAAAAAACCCAAACCCATTTAAAAAAATTTCTCCCTACCTGATCTCTCCTTCCTCTAAACCATGAAACCAATGGACTAGCTCTTCTATGAATGAGTGAGTTGAGTGAGGGAGAGGATTTACTTCATAAGGATAATTTGGTAATTACTTGTCCCAATCTGACTACTAAACCAACCGTGTTTAACAATTTAGATGGTAAATGTAATCTAGGGCCTAACTTCAAAACTCTTTAAGATAGGGAGGGCTAATTTCGTAATATGAATCTTTGGAGGAAGAATTTTAGAATATCAAGATTTAGGTGACTAATAGCCAAAAAAACCCGTTTTTTCATGTTTATTTGATTTCAGTTTCCTGTTTGGATTTATGTAGGGTTACTCTCCACTGGGATCACCTGGTACAGAACGGATTAACGATAATATTCTTAAAATCCCAATTGTAAATATGGTAGCAGAGACGTTGGGTAAATCTCCAGCACAGGTTGCTCTACGTTGGGGGATTCAAATGGGCCACAGTGTACTTCCTAAGAGCACAAATGAGGCAAGGATAAAGGAGAACTTAGACATATTTGATTGGTGCATTCCAGAAGAGCTTTTCGCCAAATTTTCTGAAATCGAACAGGCAAGTTCCTAATCACTGAAAATCTAATTGAAAACCGTTAGAATATAAAACTATAACCATTAACTCTTATCATAACCTCGTAGTTTTGATGTAGTGATGGGTACTTTTAACATGATATCAGAGCAACTCGAGTTCAAATTTTAACAACTATGAGAATGTCTCAGAAAAGCCCTCTCAACTATCTTAGTTTGAGAAAATCCCCAATTTGGGCATATTATAGAGAACTGACCTCAACTTTAAAACTTTGCCCCCCCCACCCCACCAAAAAAAAAATTTGGGGTGTCTCACAAATATCACCTGATCCTTCACACTTTTCTCACCAAACTCTCATGATGTTGTTATTTTAAAACGTAAATAACTAAAATACCATTTCAGAAATCAACTCATTGTTGTTATAAAGAAACCCCCAACCTATAGAAAAAGACCCCGACTAATTTATAATACCTTTTCCCTTTCTTTCTATCATCCCGTAGAAAATCAGCGTAGTTTTTTTTTATAAATGAGGGGTATTTTAATCTTGTCTCATCCAGCTACTTATCATGTGACATGTTAGACTTAGCGGTGTTAGTTTTCAGGGGATTAAGTTAAAAAAGTTCAAAGGGATTTTCTCGAATGTTCGAAGGTGAGGGGTTACTAACTAACTACTATATGTTCAAACTTGAGAGAGAGTTTCTCCAATTAAAATAATCGAGGATGGCTTTCCTGAGACACCCCCATAGTTGAGGGGGATTAAGTGAGAAAATTTCAGAGAGGTTTTCTTGAAATTTCAAAGTTAAGAGGGCTTATTTGTAATATGTTCAAACTTGAGGGGGGTATCTGTAATATGCTCAAACTTGAAGAGGTTTTTTAGCAAAGGAAAATATTTTTTTGGGGGTGATGGGGGGGATGAGGGTGCAAGACTTTTGAGCATCTCTCATAGTGGGGGCGGGGAGGGCGGGGGGCGGGGGTCTTCTTAACTTATTAATATATTTTCGGCATTTTAAAAGAAAATATATATCATAACATGTCTCGAGGTTTTAACCCATAAAAGGCCCCTCAATCTGAATTGAATATAAAAGTATGATTCTCAACCCTCATCACAATGTTGGGGTTTTGGTGTAACAGAAGAGACTTTAAGAAGAACTGACACATGTTTTTTTAGTGAGAAGAAAAAGTAAATTTCTCTTGGTAGAGGGTTTTCTTGTTTAGGATGATTAGGTAACTTGCTTTTGATTAGTTAGTGAGATACTAATAACCATTCAGGAGTATGCATGTCTAATAAATGGGTTAATTGCTAATAGACATTTGTAGTTTGCGAATAGACCCTCTATAGTTCCATTTGTGTGAATAAAACCCACTGTAGTAGTAGCCAAGTGTGAATACACCCTCTTAGTGAACTTTTTCAACTCTTTTAAAGGAAAAAAAATATAACAATTGGGAGTCTATCCTCACAAATAGAACTATAGGGGGCTATCTATCTTCTCAAAACATTTTCAACGAGTTTAAGAGTCAAAAAATTCACTTAGGTGATTTATTAGCACAAATGGAACTATCGTGGATCTATTAGCGATCGGGTGATGCCATAGGGGTTCTATTCATGACTTACCCTTGATAAATTCTATGCAGTGAGTAATTAGTAGCCATTAAAGTGATTGATTAGACACGTTTGTATTATAGACTTAAACCATATGTGTATATGTAGTAGGTGTCGTATGTATGTTGTTTGAATATAAAAGTAAACCCTCAACCCTTCACTATAACTTCAAAGTTTCGATATAGTGGCAAGATGTTTTGACATGGTAATAGGGCAACCCTGGTTCAAGTCCCATCGGCCACAAATTTGAAGTGAATTTTAAGCATTGCAGCTTAAAATTATAACCCACAACCCTCAATCCTCTTTGTTGTCTAAGACTCTATATATAACTTACGTGCAAGGCAAAATTTTTGTATGTAAAAGAAATACACAGAAGTTATTCAAGTTATTTGCTAAGTAAGTTTCATTAATGTTAGAGAAGCTCGGCAAGTTTTCCATCTTCATGTCCTTAGCCGAGTATGAGGACTGGTCACATTTAGAGCATGATGAGATTCAATTTACCTTTAAAATTTCTTATAAGATACCCTTGTGATAAATGCAGGCAAGATTGTTTAAAGGCGATTTATTTGTTGACCCTCAAAGCTTTTACAAGAGTATTGAGGAACTCTGGGATGGTGAACTTTGAGCAAATACTGTTTGAATCTGAATAAATATTGATGCTTTCTTGAGGGCATTACATGACCCAGCTTTTATTTCTCTACCGTATAAGGTCATGATCTGTAAACCAATAATGTTCAATTTAACTAACTTCTATTGCAGTCAAGTGTGAGTTTAAATTTTGTATTTATCAAATATATTTCATTCCAGTTTATTTGTCTTGTTGTCGATCATCTCATTTTGAGCTCATCTGATCACAACATTTGGTCTCGATCTTTATACTGTTGTTGTTATGTTCTCATTGCATCAGAATTTGCAGCCAAGACTTGTGATTTCTAGTTACCTAGCTCCTTTTGCTATGGATGGTCATCTATTTGAAAGAGTGATGAACTCTTCAAACTGGCAAGTTGATCAATAATGAACATTTCAGAAGAGACACGTGCGGACTGCTTGTAGCTGATACAGGACTTAATTGTTATGTACTCATGTGTGTAAGATTTATGGCTAGACAACTTGCTTATTAGAATGTTCACCCTCAAGAAGAGGAGATGGATAAATCTCTTGGGGTACTTACAAGAGAGATGAAAACGAATGATGGTTTCATAAGTAAATAATAACAAATAGGTTGGTACTTATGCTATCCAAACAAATTGTTTGAGCCCCCCCGTAACTTCTTTTGTGTTGTCAGGTACTAAAAATTCACTTCGTTCCCTCTTTCTCCACTCAACATAATACATGTAATGGTTATTGATCCGTTACTTTAATAACGCATGAGAGAGATGTCTACCTGGCAACCTGGCAACAGAGACCTTAAGGATTAGAGTATCGATTCAATGTTGTCACTTTTGGTGAACCATTTGATTCAATGGATGAGGAATGGATCTCCGTGTTAATGCTTATTGGTACCATTTAATGCAATATCTAAATATGGAAACATGAAATTTGGGTGTAGGACAGATACGGATACAAATGACAGTACTCTCGATGCGGGTTATCGTAGGCTCATGCATCGTATATATTCGAAAGTGTTCATGCAGGCAATTCTAATAAGAAGGCATAGTCTCCATTACCAGGATCGTAGGTGTTGTGCGCGTCGCAGAAGCGTGACAACCAAACGGGCGTGCTTTGAGAACCAAATCAAACAAACGTCGAAATAAAGGCCAAACAAATCAAAACAACGGTACAAATCCAAACACAATAGTTTTACGTGGTTCGGCAATTGCCTACGTCCACAGGGCAAGAAGGGGATGAGGTTTTCACTAATAGAGAAAGAGTACAAACTGAGATTACAAATCACTCGAAGGAACAAACTAATCTCACCAACAAGCTCTTAATCTCTCCAAACAAAACCCTAAACAAATAGCTCAGAAAATACCTCTTTTCTGTGCTCCAAATATCCCCAATTTTTCTTCTCCTCATTCTCTCTTCCAATTGTTCCATATATATAGAAATCCTAAAATCATAAACATACTAGGAATTCTAAACCAAAACCAAATCAAATTAGGAATCCTAATAACCTATTACCAAAATAGATTAGGAATTCTAATAACCTCATGTTATCAAAATGGACTAGGAATCCTAATAACCTCATGTTACCAAAATAGATTAGGAATTCCCTATCCAATAATTCTCGACCTCGGCGAAGTTTTCCCAAAACTGAGCCGTGTCGACCAAACCAAATGTCTCACTTGTTACGTCCAGTACGTCACGACAACGGACTCATGACAACGGACTCCATCCACACAAGTCGAGACCCAAACGGGAGTGCGAACACTCACCCAAATGTCGATATCTACTCACCAAATCTGCTACATCAAAACTGACTGCCTACGTATCCTCTTGTCCAAGGAATCAAGCCTTCACGTAGTTCACCCAAATGGCCTCCAAAGGCCCTCAAACAAATAGAAAAGTCTGCAACTCTTCCCCAATATCGCCAACGGATCTGCAACTAATAGCGGCCCCAAACTGATACAAATCAAACACCTCCATCTGAGGTGAACCAATGGCCGTATCCAAATCATCTGCATTCAAATCAACACGATTCCCAATCTGTGTCACATCAGCTGGAATCCCAAATGATGCAGTATGATCTGGAGTTTTCTCCTAATGTGGAGTAGCATCACTCTCCACCCGCTGCGATGTCCTAAAGATCTGATCACCACTCTCTACCTGCCAAGAGTCAAACGTGACATACCTACTCAGAACAAAGTCAGAAACCAATACCTGATAATCAAACACGCCTCTGAATCTCAAATGTGCTATCGGATCAAATCTCACATCCACGATGTGACTGAGTGCTGGGTAGCCAAACATTCGATGCAACCCAAAATCTGAAGCAGCTCCACCAGATCCCATATCTATACATACAGCAGTTGGCAACCTGTACATGAGACGGCCCAAACATGTCGTAGCCTGCACACCAATGCCAATGCTCGACATCAAACGCCGATCCTCCTCCAGAAAGGAACAGCTACCCAAATCTTCCATCTCGCCTTGTCGGCTCAAAGTTTCCACACCAATGAAGTGTCTCAAACTGCCATGAGCTCGGCACAAATACAGTAGGTCCCTCTTGTACCTCCTTCTACAACCAGAATGAAGTACCTTCACCTTACTCCCAATACACTTCTTCAACTGTTGTTGACTACTAGGACTTCAAAACCAACGGGATTTGGTTGCAACCCATAAATACCTAGTATAATCCCCAACATAGGAAACCAAAATATCAATTTACCTTCCAACGATGGCTCCTTGGAAGGCCCCTAAATGCCTGAATGAACACCAAATAGAAGACCCTTCAATCATCAAATAGAAGTGCCAAACTCCAACTCGGTCTCCTTGCTCATACCAACGTGCTCAAAAGGACTTCAATATGCAGGTCAAGGGCACTTCTTAATAATCCAATGCACCGTATCAATAAACAAATAACCCAACCTCAAATCCTTCTATCTCGGCCAACTATCTCAAAGCACCAACAAATGAAGAATAGATCCAAACTGATAAATGATAGAATTTTACCTCCAAATGAAACCCTAACAAGAGTCTCCAAACGATCTCACCCCGCACGATGGCAATGAGATCCACAAATAGGAAAAATCTCACCTTTATCTCTAAACGAAACCCTCGAAGAGCCTCCAAAGCGATCTACTCCTCCAAATAGCCCAAGCGCCAACAAACCAATGCGGAATAAACGAAGAATGGATCCAAACTAAAAAAGATAGAGTCTTTACCAAAAAGATCCCACATTTCTCACCAAACGAAACCCTAGCCGAACTTCCAAATTGATCTACTCCTCCAACCAAGACAAAACCCTAGATCTGAAATCTGGAGCTCTGATACCAATTGTTGTGCGCGTCGCGGAAGCGTGACAACCAAACGGGCGTGCTTCGAGAACCAAATCAAACAAACGTCGAGATAAAGGCCAAACAAATCAAAACAACGGTACAAATCTAAACACAATAGTTTTACGTGGTTCGGCAATTACCTACGTCCACGGGGCAAGAAGGAGATGAGGTTTTCACTAATAGAGAAAGAGTACAAACTGAGATTACAAATCACTCGAAGGAACAAACTAATCTCACCAACAAGCTCTTAATCTCTCCAAACAAAACCCTAAACAAATAGCTCAGAAAATACCTCTTTTCTGTGCTCCAAATATCCCCAATTTTTCTTCTCCACCAATTTTCTCTATTAAAGAATAAATGAAATCACAAGGCAAGAAATATGAATTAATAAAATCAAGAAATAAAACTAAGAATGAAAAGAAAATTTAAGAAAGTCAAGATGGAGGATTCAAAAGAGGTAAGAAATCTAGAATATAATCCACTAACCAATTTCAATTACAAAATATAAACTATTCTCTTTTTATCATATTTCAACTTAGATTTATTAAGCATAGATTATCAAACCATTTAAGGAAAGTGTAACCTATCAAATTATCATCTAAGCTAAAATTACTATTCATGATAAGAACAACAACATGATAATAATCCTAGAATTCATAAGCATAACCTATCAAACCATTTAAGATAAGCATAGATTATCAAATTCTTCTTCTACCGATTAGTTCTCTAGTTGATTATCCTAACATGAACATTTTAAGTACAAGAGAATAATTCATACAATATAAAAGAAATTAGACTAGTTTCATACAATTCTAAGATTCCTACAAGAATTAAATTCACATCTTAAGAAATAAAAACAAGAAAAAGAAGACTAATTACAAAATTAAAAAGAAAAGAAAAATCTAAACTATGAACAAGAAATAAATCTAATTCCAAAGAAAATAAAAATCTAAACTACAAAATAAATTGCAGAAATTAAATGCAAGAAAAATAAATCTACTCTACAAATTAAAGTGCAAAAAGAAAATAAAAAAGACAAGAAAGTAAATCTACACTACAAGCATGAATTTAAATCTAACTAATAAGCAATAATAAAGAAATTACTAAAAAGAAATAAAAGAGAAAAGAAATGCAAACCTTCAAATTGCTCTTCATCTCCATCCTCATCATTCAACAAGAAGAGAAAGAACAAATTTAAAAAAGAAAAATTATTATTATTAAATTACAACTAAAGTTATAATTTTTGGAAGGCCTTCTCAATTAAGAGTAGCTCTCCTCTCCAAAAGGAGCTCCAAAAGGAGTTTACAAAATTTTCACCCCTCTAACCCCTCACTCTCTACCCCTATTTATAGTAAACATTAGTGAATGAGAGCCATTGGATCAAACTAGAGCCATTGGATCAAACTTGAGCCCCAAGACAAGCACAATCAGCCATTGACGCGCGCTACAGTAATCTGACATCGATGCAGGTATCGATGCAGGCATCGATGTCCACATCGATGCCGACATCGATACTCATTATTTCCAAATTCTGATTTTACGGATAGCTTCGTCTCGTCGAGATAGGCGATTTTCATATATTATATGTTAAATTCCGCCTTCCGGATTAGGAGATATCGTCGTTTGAATCCATTGTTGTTTGCTTTTGGGCTTTGGACTTTGGGCTTTGCTTGACTTTTCTACAGGCTACTCGGCTTGATTCTGGACTTTTGGATAATTTGGAAATTGATTTTCCAATGGGCTTCTTTGATTCATTTCTTCATTTAATCGATGGGTTTTTGTTGAGAGATGAGAGTTTGAGATTTATTTTTCATTTACCTGCAATTAAAAGATAAAAACAATTATTAGTGGTATATTTATTCATATAAAATAG